CCCCCCCCCCCCCCCCAATTGAAACAGGGCGTAATGTGCGAGACAGCGGAAGAGTTTCACGAGAGTATAGTGAATCCGTTCTCGGAGAGATTCATGTGGGCAGAGAGCTCGCCGAGGGGTCAGACATGGTGTCATCTAGACGACATTGTCTTGAGGGAAAGGTACATAAACCGGAGTTTATCGTGTAAGAAGGGAGGAGAGAGCAGTGCAGCAAAGGGCTTGAAGCTCATATTGCTCCACAACTCTCACTATGGCCACAACAAATTCATCCCCTCCAACTAGTAGTAAGCCTCTCTCTCTCTCTAAAGCCCCTTTTTCCTTTAGGAATTTATCGTTTCCATAAATTTAGAAAATCCTGATCCATTGAGAGATTATATATCAGAATTCGAATCTATAAGTTCGATTGGTTAATGAAATACGGTAGAGACGATCTTCTAATTCAACATATAGTTGTTGATCTTAAACAGTGATGAGGTGTGTTAAATAGGCGGGTTCTTGTTACTGTAGGAAGAATAATCTCTATTATTCTATCCATATGATATCGAACCGATCGATAGTCGAATTACTCAGATACCATTGTGACATTTAATTCTATCCATCTTGAAATTTAAATCACATTAATCATGATATGTTTTTTAGGGGTTGATCGTTTCGGTATTGGATTTAGGTTGAAAATTATTCGATTCAGTTTTTTCGATAATTATGTACCAATCGATTATTATATTATATTTATTTTGATTTGGTTTGATTAAGATTTTTATTAAGAAAAAATATATTTTTAAGATTTTCAACCTTCTATCCCCATCATGACAATGTCTGCGTCCTATAATACGCAGTCATGGCGAAAACTGTTGCCCTTCACTATGAATGACCCATCATTACCACAATCCACCCAACATCTCACATCAAGTCTTCCATTGTTTTGGTCCACACACTACTAACAAGTTTTAAAAAAATTTGCTAAAAAAATGTTTTTGTTTTCCACGTTGCCCTAAACCCTTATTCTCATCAATCATAGTAAGCATGTATTTAGAAAGAATATTTGCCCCATCATACTCACTATATTCATCTCCAAAGTGTTTTCTTAGTGGTGGATGCTCAAAGAAATTATGATCTGATAATCAATTTTGTTTTGTGTGTGGTCCAAAGCATAGAATATTTAAGGATTTTTTACAGACACCATCTCCAAATAATTCAGCATTAGGTTATGTCATCCCACTAAAATTTCAATAATTAATGTTATCTAGCAACTAGAGTTCGAAGATTGAATTTGAATGCAATCTTAAATCTTGCTTTATATCATTATATATCTGTTAGCTTTATCTCTTTTGTGCTTAGTTCGAAGTTTGATTATGTGGAAATCAGTATATGTTGACAAAAATCTAAAGTGTACCCAATACCCATCCATTTATTTTTTTTATATTAAAACTAGGCATGGAGGTTTTGGTACAATTCTTAAAAACCGGAAAAACTTTCTATCGTTTCAAAATGTTCGAAGGACCCGAGCTTTTCAAAATCGAATCAAACGGAACAGAATTTTAAAAAAAATATTAAACGAACAAAATTTCTTAAAAAATGTAATTTTTTTTAATAAAAATTGATATCGTCTCAATCGAACAATTATTGAACTGAATATCGAAATGTTCACCTTTATGAATATAAAAACGTTCATCTCTAATAAAGGTCGCTGTATAATATTGGATATTCGAAGACCACTTGTATCCGATTGTAAAATCATTAATTCGATTATGATTTGTGAGTAATCTTGGAACTACCCATCACATTAGTTACCCGAAATTTTAGAAGTAGGACAACAATAATGACCATTGAATTCTTTTTGTGTTGTTGGTAAATTATTAACCAATATTACCAAGAATGTTAGACTCCCACACCAACCACATTCTTTGAATGTAATAATTAATGATACATAAATAGTCTCGGCCACTTTATCCCAAAAATGAATTCATCTTTTGTCTAATTTTATCAAAATTCCAATTGGAATTGGCTTTGAACTCTGACCAAACAACCTCGCCACCTAGTTTTTTTCCAAGTTGATTATCCCCACAACATTAAACATAATTTTAAAAAGATTTCTAAATTAATCTATTGAACTGGTTGGATCGTAAATCTCTTAAAACCCCGTGTACATATATGTATGTATGTATATACATATACATATATTTGTATATGTGTGTGAAAATTTGACCAAGGAACGAGAGGCGCGTTTACATAGATTATTGGAAATTGATATGTCCCTAAGCAGGTGACAATCTTTCATTAGAATCTTTATCTAACGACTAATATTTTAGTTTCCCATTCTGTCCTTGTGTACCTCCTTTGAATCCTCCCCGGCAGTATATGTATATGTATTTCAATTTTTTTTTTGTTTTATATTTTAGTTATATTTAAATTATTTAAAAATAATTTATTTTTTAGTTCATCTATTTGTTATTTTTTATATTATTTTAATTTGTATATTAAATTATTTTAAAATTAAATTAATTTTGAAAATAATTACGAATTATTGGATTCGGTTTAAAACCTATTGTCATTGTTTATAAATATGCATCATTTAAATTAGTTTTTACAATTTTCAGTTTATAAATTTTTAAATATTCTTCGCCCTATAGCCAACAATTTTCAAGTATTACTACTATGCAAGAACGCATAAACTAATCATTTACATCTTTCCTTTCTAATAGTCTTTTAATATCTTATTTTCATAGATACAATTCAGATACCAAACTTTGAAATGTAATATTTATATTCAAATAAGAAATCTAAAATGTTAATTATATTCATTTTTTCACATTCAATTTATTTTAATAACAGTTCAAATATCTAAAAAATATATATTATATATCTAATCGTTCCCCGAGGGTAAGCTTTCATTGTGTAATAAGAATGAACGGGAAAATAATAATTTACGACTTCTATCTGTTCTGGTCGCATGGCGCTGGACCCACCCATTGTGGCATTGCGATGATTCCTCAACGTTTGATGTGATCAAACGATTTATAGCCGTTGGATCTGGCGGGGGCTGATTGAGATTCTTTCAACGGCTGAGATCAATGGGTTGACTTACAGCGTGTAATACTGGAAAAAGTGGAGGGGTCGAAAGCCAAAGGGAGTTGCTGTTGCTGATTGATAAACTCGAGCCCCTCTCCTCTCAATCCTCAAGCTCTGCTCTTCTCTCTCTCTCTCTCCATTAAAGCGGCCATTGGAGGTCACGAAGGAACATCTGAAGCCGATAACCTGGTGAGTTCCTCTCTCTGTCTCCTCTTATTTTCCTGTAGATCCTTTTTCTTGCAGTTTCGTGGTTTTACGTCTGTAAGTTGGATTGTTCAGAACGAGGTCACTTTCTTCGATTTCTGTTTGCATCGTTTTTCACGAGAATCCACGAGATTATTTATGGGTTTTATTCTGTGTAATTTATCTTATCCGGGTGATAATTCGATTCGACTACGATGATGTTATCAGTGTGTCGAGGCGATCGGATTTTGACCTCGGAATATGGATACTGACGAGGATCTGTGCCAGAACAATTGGGGGAACTCTCCTTCCACAGGTGACAAATTATCCGAACTGGTTTCTTCGGACAATAACGGGTCCTTCACAGCTTCTGCGTCGCAGCAGAAATGGGAAGACACATCTATCTTAGACTTCGACATGGGAATGGAGCCTGGGGACCAAGTGTTTGATGAAATGAGAGCTCCCGACCAAGAGGACGTTCAAGTGAACAATGACTCTCTGCAAGGCGGTAAGGCTCAGACTTGGGACCCGACAGCAATGCTGAACAATCTATCCTTTTTGGACCAGAAGATCCACCAGCTGCAGGATCTCATTCATCTGATTGTTGGGCGAGGCGGGCAGCTTGTGGGCCGCCCAGATGAACTTGTGTCTCAGCAGCAACAGCTTATAACCGCGGATCTTACTTCCATAATCATACAGCTGATTTCCGCTGCAGGTAGTCTTCTTCCATCTGTTAAGCATTATATGTCAACGCCTGGTCCATTCACGGGACTACCTGGTTCAGTCCTGTTTCCTTATGCAAGGGAAGCTGACAATGTTGCCCCCTGTAGCGCCCAAGACTCCGATTTGTCTAAACTGGTTGATCCTTCTGGTGATTCAAAGATTGATGAGAAAGATAGCCATGTCGTGGAAGAATATGAAATGAAAGACGAAGACGATGTAGATGAAGGAGAGAATCTTCCTCCAGGTTCGTTCGAGATATTGCAGTTGGAGAAAGAGGAGATTCTTGCTCCACACACACATTTCTGCACGATATGTGGAAAGGGTTTCAAGAGAGACGCGAATCTGAGAATGCACATGAGAGGCCATGGGGACGAGTACAAGACCGCAGCCGCTCTTGCTAAACCACACAAAGAATCTAGGTCTGGGTCTGGGCCAGTGCTGATCCAGAGGTACTCATGCCCATTTCCTGGCTGCAAACGCAACAAGGATCACAAAAAGTTTCAGCCTTTGAAGACGATCCTGTGCGTGAAGAACCATTACAAACGCACCCATTGTGACAAAAGCTTCACTTGCAGCAGGTGCCATGCCAAGAAATTCTCGGTCATTGCAGATCTCAAGACGCATGAGAAGCACTGCGGGAAAAACAAGTGGCTCTGTTCCTGCGGCACCACTTTCTCAAGGAAAGACAAGCTCTTTGGCCACATTGCTCTGTTTCAGGGCCACACACCGGCAATCCCTGTTGATGAGACGAAATCGTCAGCTGGGCCATCTGCCGGGAGAGAGGCCTCTGAAACCGTGAGCAGCCCCGGAACGGTGAATTTCAGTTTTAGCACTGCAAACTCTGTTAACCCAGAAACCGTGCTGCCCGGTGTCTTGGAAATGAAGGGAAATTTTGACGACTCTACAAACTGTTTCTCGCCTCTGAGCTTCGATACGTGCAATTTCGGAGGGTTCCATGAGTTCCCACGACCGATCTTTGATGATTCCGACAGTTCTTTTCAACTGATTATTTCAGGTGGGTGTGGTTTCTCACCAAGAAATGGTGGTTGTGTCTCAAATAGTAATAATCTCTAGACACTACCTATGTTTCAGTCCCCGTTCTCTGTTTTGGTTTATGTTGTCATTTGATGTAAGATGCTCTAGGCTCTCCCTTTTCTCCGTACTCCCTTCTCTCCAGAATAAATATATCAGGGAAGATGTTTATGTACTTTCTTATAACTTATGCTGTACTGTCAAAGTGGATTCAAAGTCACATTAATGTAAATACATAACCAAATAGATTTGTTACAAAAGTTAAATTAGTAAAGAGACCGGTTTATTCTCTCTTAGATCTTCTGTTTCCTAATGCTGACAAGAAAAGACCAAATATGCTGATTGTAGTACAGAAGCTTGCATTGAGTGGCTTCGAGATCATCAGAGATTGCAGCGCAAAGGTTTGAACTGAAAGCATTTCGCCGATATACAAACTCTTAAGGGGAAATAGAGAGACCGATAGTTTCCTCGTACCCCCTCGTAGTCAGATGCAACCGAAATTTCAAGTACTCGTCTGATCCCACTGTCTTGGTATCCAGAATTTCAGGAGCCCGTCTTTCAAGTGTCAGTCACTCACAAGATGGGATGGTTCGATCGAAAAAATCTGAAAGGGTGAAACCAAGGTCAGATATCCGACCCGTGCCTACACATAATGGTCACACCCATTCTTGCCTGCATTAACACAACTCCTGTGGGCAAGGCCGAAGATGTGGGTGTCAAAATTCTGAGATCAAGACGGGTTGGACTAGTCCCAGCTGGGCCAACCCGTTTTACACTCCAAGCCGAAGATGAAGACTTTCGTACGAATCACTGAATATTATATCAGGAAAGGCACAATACCCTTTGCATTCCTGTTTGAGTTGCTGTAATTTTCTCACAAAAATAAGATGAATCCAATGTTGTCTACTGTGTGAGAAATGGGTCGGAAAGAATATAAGCGGATTATTGGATTCAGCAGATGAACATCAAGGATATAGATACCAGAGTGATCAAAATCCAAAGAACATGAAGCTAAAACACATGAAAGGCTTCAGCAGCTAAAATCAAGCTGAAGAAGAACTTTCAATGTGCTGAATGTTGCAGAGCACAGAACTCCAAACTGAAGCAATAATTCAGTTCAAAAATATACTCTCAATGGATTTGGGTCAACCAAAAACTGATTACCACAGACAATGAGAGCTTCTTGGACACCAAAAGCGGTAATCTCGGTTTAAAAGGTAAGGTCCTTTGGGTCCTCGATAATGCTGGCCAGTGTTTGCAAGAACTGTGCAAGATCAGCACCGTAGATGACACGATGATCTGCCGTGACATTCACCTGCGGGATTACAAGTGACAAAGAGATCATTATCCCATGTCCCAAACAACTCAGAATGATCTGATGGACAGCTGAAAGATGGGGGAAAAAAACCAAAAACCAGTTCAGAAATATCATCGAGACACGAGTTACCTGCATCTGGTTTTTCTTGCCAATGCGGCCATCCTTAGTGGCAACTACAGTAGGTTGAGAAGCTCCAACCGCCATAATTGCTCCCTGCATTGATCCAAGCCGGAGAAAGGAACGTTTTTTTATTAATATTTCTTAGCAAATTATTCCAAGATGAAGACCTGAATCTCCATGAAGGTTTAAATTACTCACAGTTCCAGGAGGCAGAATGGCATCAAACCGATCAACACCAAACATTCCGAGGTTAGAGAGAGTGAAAGTACCTGAAATTAGGGAAAAGAAAAAGCTTGAAAATGATATCTGATCTTGAAGCTGCAGTCAGACAAACCGGTAATATAACCATTTCATTGTCAACCCACAAACTATATTTCTCTATTCGAGCATAATGTTTACCCGTGTTGTACTCCTGAGGCTGCAGCTGCTTTGCTCGGGCCTTGTCAACCAATTCTTTCCATTTCCTCGATAATGTGTATATGTCAACCTATTCACAGACAAGAATAAAGAAACCCGAAACCCGTAAGAGAACATTCCACGACAGAGTAAAGCACAAAAGCATCACCATGCGCAGAAGAAAGAACAAATAAAAAAGGGAAAACCTTATCGGCGTTCTGAAGAACTGGAGTGATCAAACCGCCATCGATAGCCACAGCCACGGCAATGTTGATGCTACTATTGTACGTAAAACTGTTACCGTCTCTGCAGGATGAATTCACAACTGGGTGTTTCGCCAGGGCCAGGGCAGTTGCCTTTGCTAGCAGTGCCGTCATTGTCACTCCTTTCGACTTAATCTAACCAACCAAACAAAAGTAACCCTAAATTAATACTGACTTACTCTACAAGACCTGTTTTTGCATCTAATGCTCAAAGTGAGAGTAGAGCTCAGCCAACCAGAGACATAAAAGAAAAACATACTTCAAACAGCCACTTCTCCTCATTCTCCAGTTACTATGATGTGTTACCTCATATGCAATATATAAAAACGATACAGATTGAGCTTGGACAACCAGGGACAAAGAAATAAGCATATGACATAAAAATCATGGTCGAAGGAAAATTCTGAGACTTAGGTAAGAATCCATTCATGCTGTTTCTTTGCTATTATCATAACCCTAGCCTATCAAAGTTCCAATCCTCTTCACTTTTCTATCATCATAATCAACCAAAGTACAAATCTTTTGCATTTTCCCATCATCATGATCAACCCAAGTTCCAATCTTTTCTATTTTCCAACCATCATGGTCAATCCCAAGTTCTTATCTTTTCCGTTTCCCAACCATCAATAAACAAAGTTCCAGCTATTCAAAGATGAATCCATATCTCACCTTCTTGTAGAGAGCATCAAGGGCATCGGTGGTGATTGTGTATCCAACCCTAAATGTCGGAACGGACAGACTCTCCACCATATTCCTGCTCACGGCGCTCTGCATTGTCGTGAACGGAACCACACTCCCCAACTCAACACCCGCCGCATGCGGCGGCGCAACCGCAGTCACTGGGGGAGCCCCCGCGGCGGCG